CTTCAGGGTTGTATATGTACCAAATTGGTGTTGGCCACAGCCACCGCCAGTATTTGGCGTTATTATTGTATGGGATTTACAATGGGTTTCATATTGAATCTCTTTGGCTAAAAATCTGATTATAAAAAATGGATCTCATCTCTGTATTTTTTGAGAAGAAGAAGGAATGGAGAAGAGAAGGAAATGGGAGGGGGAAAACAGTGCTGGTCAGATCTTGGGAATTACGGGGAGAGAGAAACGTGGATATATGGACACCTTTAATTAAGGAGTAAAAAACTGTCAATTAATTATACCTCTAAATTTATTATGGTATATAAATGGTAATTTGGTATGCTGAAATGTAATTAACTCAAACCTTAAACATTGAGGGTAATAAGGTTTCATATATGGTATAGGAAGGTAAAAATCCCATATTTATATGCTATAAATTATGTCACTAAGTATAAAAAGGAAATTTAAAGTTAATTATGCAAAATATATAAAAGATGGATTAAAAAAGGGTTTACTACATAAATTAGGACAGAGAGAGCAATAAATAATTATTAATGATTGTCGAGCGATAAACCTCGAGTAAAAGATACACTTAAACACATGTCATATCCATATTATAAGAAGCTATTTAGTTATTAGTTTCCATAAATATGATATTATTTTATATAATATCGATGTTCAGCGTACGGTATACACCGAGTAATTAGTTTCCATAAATATGATATTATTTTTTTTCATTTTCAAACCTAAAACTTTTAAGGGAGAAATTCAAAAATAGCCAGATTTACAAGTAATCATTCAAAAATAGCCACAGTTTCAAAATAATCGAAATTTAGCCATTTTTCATGTAAAGATAAATCTGAACGAAAACACTGTTCAAAATTCGGAAAAAACTCCAGCATAATATACAAGAGTTCCATAATATTATACTGGAGTTCCAGCATAAGTATACTGGAACTCCAGTATATTATACTAGAGTTCCAGACTTCCAGTATAATATACTAGACTTCCAACATAATATACTGGAATTCCAGTATAATATACCGATCCAGCATAATATGCTGGAAGTTCATACACAGGTGCACCGATCTCCAGTATATTATGCTGGAACTTTCCGAGATATAGCAAAATAATGGCTATTTTTAAATGACTTTACAAATGCTGGCTATTGTTGAATGACCAATCCGAAAACTGGCTAGCCCGTGCTATTTTTGCAACATTTAATTAAGGTTTGAGAGATCCTATGTAATGAATCAGCAGCACACTCCAACAGTACCTAGACGCAGTACTAGAGAGAGGCATTTGCCAAGTCATTTGAACCACTACGTGGTCCCCAATCCAAAAGGGAATGTTCTATCTGTCAAGCCGTTAGAGAAGGGACAAGAATTGCTTGGCAAGGAATAGCATATATATAGCAGCATCAACAATTAGAATAGGTGTGGATGAAGTTTGCTTTTTTTTTATTTCATTAGCTACCTTGTAGCAGTCTGGGACCTCTCTTTTCTTGTTTTTCATTTTTTTGTTCACTGTTTCTCCTTGTTTTCCTAAGGATTGAGGATAATATAGTGTTACCCTTCAGTTCAATTGAATATCATATCTTGTTTCCTTACATTGGTGCTTTCATTAACCCTCCTTCTACAAATGGGTGACGGTGCACACAATACTCGGTTGAAATCTTTGGATGAAGCTGTGAAACACCTCCAAGAGCAGTCAGCTGTTCACACCAAAGCTCTGGACTCCATCCACAATACCCTTCAGGAGATTGTTGCGCACATGGCTTCTCAGAGAGCTCCTTCTCCGACGCCGGTGCCGCTCGCTGCTAGGCCTTCTTCCTCTGTGTTGGGTCAATCATCGACGCCGCAACCACAAACTGGATATAAGCAACATACATCACCACAGACACCAGTTTTTAACGTCACTCAACCACCAGAACAACAACAACCCTCTAATCACTCGCAGAGACAGAGCCATTGAATTGCCAAAGTGCGACGGTAACGCTGCGGAGAGTTGGATTTTCCAGGCCCGTCAGTATTTCGACCACTATAATGTTTCCGACGAAGAACGCATCAACCAATGTTCATTCTTCCTTGAAGGCGACGCCAGAGATTGGTATCAATGGATGTACCGGAATCATCAGTTATGTGGTTGGGCTCACTTGATGAGAGCTTTTGTGACTCGTTTTGGAGCAAAATCATTGGAATCACCGGAGAGTTTGCTTGCAAAATTGCAAATGACTTCTTCCGTTCATGACTATCTCTCCCGTTTTGAAAAGCTCGCTAACCGTACGACAGAGATGTCACCGCCGATGTTGAAACATTGCTTTACTTCAGGGCTTCTACCAGATATTAAGGTTGATGTGCTTTCCTTTCGCCCCATGGACTTGAATGAGGCCATCGGGTTGGCCTTTTTACAAGAGCAGAAATATTTGGCCCAACCCAAACTAACAACCCGACCCACTTCTTCCTCTAAACCACAGCCTCTTTCCCTGCCACAACAAACCACTTGGAACCCTAAATCAACCCCGTCAATCTCTCCTTCTTCTCAGTCTCCGACTGCCTCTCTTCCCGGAATTGGCCGCATCCCTTTTAAAAAACTGACACCGGCGGAGGTTCAACGCAAACGCGAGCTCAATTTTTTCTTCAATTGTGACGAAAAATACCACAAGGGTCATCGTTGCTCCTCTGCACCCCAGCTTTTCCTTCTTCTAACAGATGACGAAGCCCTTGAGGATCCTCCATCGGAATTGTTACCACCACCATCTGATTCCCCTCCTCCTGATATATCACCTGCCTCACCCTCTCTTCTCACCATCAGTCTTCACGCCTTGTCTGGCGGACTAGACTCCTCCACTATTCGCGTGACTGGCTACATCAAAGGCCTTGCAGCTCAGATTCTCATTGATGGAGGTAGCACTCATAATTTTGTCAATCCGCGTGCTGCTAGGAAACTTAAATTGGCTATTGAACCATCTACTAGATTTTCTGTTGTGGTTGGAAATGGGCATGCATTGACGTGTCTTGGAGTGATACATGATGTTCCTATTACTATTCAAGGTTTTTCTTTTTCCACTAATTTCTTTGTCATTGATCTTCATGGGTCTGACCTTGTTTTGGGTGTGGTTTGGCTAGCCACACTAGGTCCTAGTACTACAGACTATGTCAACTGTCTCTTTGAGTTGAACATTTCTGGGCAACGCATTTGTTGGGTAGGTGACCCTGTTTCTTCCTCAACCCAAATCAATATGTCCACCCTTCGTCGTTGTTCACAAACTGATGCCATTTCTTATCTCCTGCAGTTAGATCTCCGCTCTACATCTACCACTTCTTCACCTGATTATCCTCAAGACTTATCCCTTCTCCTCCAATCCTATGATGATGTATTCAAATCTCCTGAGTCACTTCCACCCTCTAGACNAATGTTCTATCTGTCAAGCCGTTAGAGAAGGGACAAGAATTGCTTGGCAAGGAATAGCATATATAGCAACAACAACAATTAGAATAGGTGTGGATGAAGTTTGCTTTTTTTTTATTTCATTAGCTACCTTGTAGCAATCTGGGACCTCTCTTTTCTTTGTTTTTCTATTTTTTGTTTCACTGTTTCTTCCTTGTTTTCCTAAGGATTGAGGATAATATAGTGTTACCCTTCAGTTCAATTGAATATCATATCTTGTTTCCTTACACTATCCCCATGCAAGCATCAATGACTGATTCCACGCCTCGAACCTATGACTTATAAGTCACACGTAGACAACTTTAACATTGCTCCAAAGCTCCCCTGGATATATGACATGGAAACAAATAATACAAACTTGACCATCTTCTATCAGTCCCTTCCCTTGTCCACTAGCTCTCCTGTCCAGAGTGAAAGACGTGTATAGATCTAAGGGAAATCTTAAGAGAACCTTGATCCTATTGATCACAAAGAGTTCGAGCCGAATGACGTAGGTGCACAAGAGTACATCGCTGTGAGTGTGATAAACAATTCATCCTCGATCATCAAATTGGGTTTCGGGTAACTGCCCGTAAAATTCCTGATTTAGACTACCATAATAACAACAACAATAACATACCCAGTATAGTCTCACATTGTGGGATCTAAAGAGAGTAATGCATACGCAGACGGCAGACCTGACCCCTACCTTGTGGAGGTAGAGAGCTTGTTTCCGATAGACCCTCGGCTCAAGAAAAGCAATTCACAACAGGTTTGAAAAAGAAAAACAAAGCCGCCAAACTCCCGAATTAAACGTAACAATAGAAACCATGAACCAGAAATGGAAAAAAGATGACAAGCATCATATTAAGCAATATAAGTTGGTTACAGTGGTGGTAAACATGACTATATTCGTGACACCAATATACAGTTTTCACGGAAACACAAACCAACAACAGTTACATGTCAACCACACCAGTTCAGCAGCAAGCAATAATCACCATAAGAAATCTCTCTCTATTTTACAAAGTTATTGTCAAGAAAAGAAAAAGAAGGGACAATGTTAAGCTGATGTTGAAGAATGTAAAATTAATTCGAATTTTGACAAGAAAACTCTCCCCCCAAAGGCGGATCTAGGATTTTTATAACATGGGGTGCACCACTATAAAAAGGAAAAAATAAAAGTATTAAGTGAGAATTGATCTCAACTTCTCTAAGTAAATAACTTAGCATTCAACCAAGTGGGTCATTTAACCTTTTTGGAGCATGGGTTCCAGCAGGTTATATTTGATCAGTTCTAAAAAATAAGTACATAAAATACCTAATTTGGCGGAAAGACCATGGGTTCACGTGCCCCACACACTGGGCTATAGATCCGCCCCTGTCTCCCCCTAGAATCCAGATACAACAAAATAATCCTATGCTCTGATAAAACTTCAATTAGATAATATTCAACAATAGATTAAATGATGTTCAAAAATAAGAAGGAAGGGGGGGGGGGGGGGGGGGGGGGAGGTCACTTATTATTGAAAATTTCCTAGAAGAGGAGAAAATCCCCGTAAGTTTTACAAAACCTGATATGGTATAAAAATTATTTTACTTTATACATCATAAATTGGTAAGACTAAGTGCTTCCATGCTCGTTACACACAGGACAGAATGGCAGTCAATAAGCCTCAAAAATGATATAACTGAAAAATATGCGCCTTCTGTTTAGGGTAAACAATTAACCAAAATTAAAAGAACACAGCAATTTTTTCAATCTTCTTCAGGTGGTGATAATGCAGTTATGGCGTTATCACCATATCCAGGTTGGCAGAAGACCTCACCTAGGTTACCTCTGAGAAGCTACCAGTTATCTTCGTGTTTCAAGGGGCTCTGTCAAATGGCTTAGTATCATTGTAACAAACATCCCAGACAGCTTCCATGGCATCCCTACTGGCTGACTCCGAACAATATGGGTTACCCGCCATCGATTTCATCACTCTTCGCCTCACACATTCCTTCATAGGGCCAAGTGCAGAAGGGAAAAATTTAGAAACTAATCAACTATTAAGCAACTTGTTGACAACTTGACATACACACACGGAAGGATAAAGTGATATAGGGAGACAGTCCATTTACTGAAAGATCAATATAAGGTGATATATAGAGGCAATCTTAACAATCCCGCTTTCCAATTCAATTTTGTCTTCCATGAAGTAGAAGAATAGCTTGAGATTTTACAGGATTGTCAAGTTCTTTTCCCTTCTATCATTACATACAGTATTCTTAAGGCGCATGGTGTCAAAGATTAAGAAAGATGCGTACTATCTCATATGTCATGAATCTTTTTTAAAAGTGAATCCAGTACGAAGTGCCAGGCATTTGGATAACTTCGTTAAAAATTTCTTGGGCAAATCAGTTTTAGGTTTTCGGAAAACAATTGCGTGTTTAATATTTCTGAGAGGATCTGTTTTGGAAAAGAGAACTTCTTAGATTCGGAGTTTATGAAAGGGAAAAAGGCCATTATTACCCCTATACTATTGTAAATAGTACACATTTGTCCTTAGTTTCACTTTACGTCCAAAATTCACCCTATTGTTAACAAACCTGATGGAAATGCCCCTAACCCTAACGGATGGCCAATGTGGCAGCTGACCCACTCAATTTTTTCCATGTCAGCTGCCAAGTCGCTTATTTACTCAATTAAAAAAAAAATTAAAACATATCCCCCCAACCCCACCCCCTTCGGGCTCCCTACTTCTTCTTCTTCCATGAGTTCTTCGTCTTTGCTTTAAATTTTTCAAATCCAAATTAGGCCAAGTTTTCATCAAACTGACTCAAGTTGCAACCATAACTTCTCAACATTAATATTCTCAACAAATTTCAGCAAACACTTTGCTTAACTTCAGCTTAAGCATTCTTACAAATCCTTTAATGGTTATTTTTTTTTCAAATCTATAAACATCAGTGTTATTCTTTCCGTTTCAAGCTTCAATTTTTATTTTTTCACTCGATTTCGGTAGGAAACAAGCAGAATTCAGATTCCTGTTGCTTAACTTTTCTTTATCTTAACTTCTATGTAAAGTCCGAACCAAAAGCTTCCCTATCTCCTAGTGAAACCCAATAGTAAGTTTAGATCCATGAAACATGGTTTAATTTGACCACAAAAGGTTTAGATCTTGGAGGTTAATACCAATTCACACACACTATGCAAGAAATTCACTCAATTCTTCACTCACACACACACAAACACACTGCACAATACGAATACACTGAATTCGCCCCATAGCTGTTCAGCTCGCTTTCATAGCTTTCTACCTCAATCACCATCCTCTCCATTGAAATACACCATTTTTTTATGACCTTCCTTCCAATGAAAAAACCAATTCTCACTGAAAACACTTAACAAAAAATCTCTCCATTTAACCATTTTCACAAACACCATATCTTCACCAATAAAAGCACAGACTCCAATGACTCTGTGCTAGACTAACCGATTGAAGGGCCTCCTTCTACCGTAAGCTATCAACACCCAACAAAGCAATAATGAGATATGGAGTACTAAACTTTACATTGTTTAATACATATGAGTATTATCCCAGTCATATTAGATTCTGGTTTAATTTCGCTATCTGCATTCCTACTCATGTTATAATTTTTCTTTTAATTGAGTAAATTAGGTGACTTGGCAGTTGACATGGAAAAAATGGAGAGGATCAGCTGCCACATTGGCCATCCGTTAGGGTTACGTGTACTATTTACAATAGTGCAGGGGTAATAATGGCGTTTTTCCCTTTATGAAATCCAACTTTCACAAATTAACACTAAAGACTTGAGAGAATGTAGGTGCACAATATGGTTAAAATTTTCGGAAAAGGGCCATATTTTCTTTCTTTGAGAATGAATACGTTGTCAGTAAGGCTTAAACCTCCGACCCCCCACCCCACCCCCGGTGTTTAAGTTTCTTAATAAATCCACCCATGTTGTTATACATTAGGTTTTATTTTACCCCTCACCCGTTAAATCCTCCATCTTAGCCTTCAATGGCAGGCCGTCATTAAACAAAAAGACCCGCTCCATCTTTAATGGATAACCCACCCGGCCCAACTACTTACCCCAACCCCCTCGACTAAAAGAAACAATTACGTCCTCTCCTTCATGTATTCTTTTTCCCCAAAAAGAACCCAACCATCTCTTTCCACCATTGAAACACAGTACTCAAGAGCTAACAAAAGAAAGTTACCCTTCTTCCTCCCCTATTCTTCTTCCATTTTTTCCTCCTTTCCTCCAGAAAGATTCACCATTAAAATATTTCATTCCACAAATTTCTTCTTCTTTTTTTTGCTTCAAGCAATCCACCAAGGTTACTGGGAGTGTGTTTATAGTGTTAAAAAATGGTATCCTCTCGGTATTACATGTTCAATTTATATCCAGTAAAAAAAAATGTTTATATCTAGCCAGCCTAGGCCAAACACAGAACCTGCAATCATCAAGGTTACTGATTGATGCAGAACTAAAGCTATCTAGAGGAGCAACTATAACAGTCTTCTCAACAACAGATTGACTACAAAAAGATGTAACAAATGAAAAGTTATGAATAAAAGAGGTGGTCTATGAACCTTGTTGTTGTGGAAAATGAAGGGGACGGTGAGGAAGATGGTCTCTTTTTTTTTGGGGGGTGGGGGGGGAGTTGTAGCGAAAGGATGGTGATGTATACGAGGTGAAGGTAGCGATGGAAGCTTGTAAAATGGCAGGGAAGGTACTGGCAGAGAGATAGTGGCATTTGTAGATAAATCTGGGTTATGAATAAGGATTCCCCATGTGAAGAAGAAGAAATGACTTGGAAAAATGGCTGAAACTATTACCTGAATGACCAAAAATTCTTTTTTGGGCAAAAATCTCTATTTTTTCGAAAAACGCACTCACCTAAAGTAGTTGGGTCGGGTGGGTTATTCATTAAAGATGTGGCGGGTCTTTTCGTTCAATGACGGCCTGCCACGTGAATTTTTAGGGCTGGGATGGAGGATTTAATAGGAGGGGTAAAACAAACCTAAATTATAATGGTACGGGTGGATTATTAAGAAACTGCAGGGTG